CCTAATGAGAGAATCAGCCTGTGTTTTGAAGCGTTGAAGTCAGACATTGACTTATCTCTCTAGATTTAAAAGCCCTAGATGAAATCTTTTTCCAATATAAGGCTGTGTCACCTACATTAAAAATCTGTTTTTCGGTGTGGTCACTTTGACGAAATACGTTAGCTTGATCTTCTGGAAATCTTTCTGCAGCTTCCACCTCAGCACTTGGTACATCACCTTGCACTTTTATGTTATAGAGACAGCTTCTTTCTTTAAGCCTCTGTTAGCTTCAGACATATTTTTCTGCAGCATCATCACCTCTCTCAGCCTTCACAGAATTGAACAGTTAGAAACTTGCTCTGGATTAGGCTTTGGCTTAAGAGTATGTTGTGGCTGGTTTGATCACCTAAGAAGAATATTAAAATTTTCTCTATATCATCAGTAAGGTTGTTCACTTAACATTTGCATGCCTTTTTCCTTCCAGAACTTAAGTTTTGTGCAAATTCCTTCTAGAACTTTGCCTTTGCATTCACAACTTGGCTAACTCGTATAAGAGTCCTACATTCCCCCCATTTCAACTTTTGACATGCCTTTTTCACTAAGCTTAATCATGTCTAGCTTTCGATTTAAAATGAGAGATGTGTGACTGTTCATTTGACCTGACCACTTCAGAGACCGTCATAGAATTATTAATTGTCCTAATTTTAACATCATGTTGCAGCAAATATGGAGGCCCATATACAGAGAAATGGAACATAGTGAAGCATTCAGAGTACACACATTTATTGATTAAATTTGCCATCTTACATGGACATGGTTCATGGCACCTTCAAATAATTACAATGATAACAACAAGATCACTATAACAAATAAAATAGTAATTTAATAGTTTGAAACATTCCAAGAATTATCAAAATGTGTCACAGAGACCAAATGCTGTTGGACAGACTTGTTGTACCCAGCGTTGCCATAAACCTTCAATTTGTAAAAAATGCAATATCTGCAAAATGAAATTAAGTGATACTGAATAAAACAATGCATGTCTGTAGCAAAATTCAGGCTTAGTACTTTAACATGAATTTTGTGAGCAGACAATTTAGTTTATAACATTCTCATCCTAAGCAAAGTTAAACTGATGCACCTCAGCATCTCTGTTTTTAAAATCTCAAGAGTTGAGATTTTTCATCTTTTCTAATAGTTTGACAAACACATGCAAATAGGTTAATAAGAATTGTCTAATAAGAAACAAGTAATGATTGTAGAAGGCTTCAGAGTGAAACAGAGTTTCATAGAGCAAGAGAAGCTTGCCCAAAGTCCACACAAGTAGTGGAGAAACAAACACACTGAATTCTAAATTCAAAGTCCGCAGTGTTACATCAATTTTCTGCACAAAATGAACAACAACAAATTCACAAAATGAAATCAAATAAATAAAATAATCTTGCATTCCTTTAGGGAATATTACTTTTGTTTAAAATAAAATATGTTTTCTCCAAAATATTAATTTATCACAGGGGTTATTATTCAAATGTTCAAATGTCTTTTTTGGTTGGTTTGATATATTCTGTTTATTTGATTACAGTTTTCAACTTTGCTTGGCAAAAAATATTCTTTGAATATGCATGTACTATACTTAAATTGATAAAGAGAATTACTCTTCTTAAAACAATGTGGAATTCTCTGCTGGGTCCATGAAATCAACTGTAAACTCTGTCCTATACTCTCTAACACCTATGTCTCCCTGGGCCAGATACTGAGATGGAGTGTTGTCTAAATAACTCTACCCATTATTCTTGACCAGTGTTGGGTTACTGAGAGTAGAAAAGCTTCTTGCCATATCAACAGATACCTAAATGCAGGTATTGAAGTTTTACATCAAAGGAGTGTGATACAACTTTGCCTATGTGCTTCACAGTTTGAAAAAAATACAGAGAAGAAATGAAAAGTTTTCTCTTTTAGTCTGCAATTATATTCTTGATACTATAATTCCCAAATGACATAAAATGGAATATGTGATTTCCTCACAGAAAATAAATCTTCAAAAAAATTAAATGGACCTTCTTAATAGGGTCTAAATTTAGTAAGCTCAAATGCCATGGCAGTTTATTGTTGGTTCTGCCCTGAAGAAGATGAGCTTACTTTGAGGGAAAACATAATCCTCTTAATATGTTTGCTATGTGAAATTCTAAGTATATTTAAATGAAATGATTTTAAACTCGATAGTAACTGAGAATTTAAGTAGATTTTGTTCTAGTATCTTTCCACTAAAGAATAATACTGAGTTGAAATTTTAAAAACTACTTCTCAGTATGACAAGTAAAAGAAATATAAATTGGCAGAATTAGACAGCTCTTTGGGGATCATACGTCTTGTAATTGTTTCTTTTTTCATGAAAATGTTACCATGATTTCATTTATTTTTCTTAGAGGGCCGAATCATACCAATAAGCATATATAACACATAGTATTGAGCTGACGTCGCTGCATTTACACAGATCCTCAAAATGATTAAAGGATGAACACTTCTGTTGTTAATTTACCTTGCTATAATACAAGTGTTTGGTGTGTAATTTTTCTCTACAAGTAACTGAGTATGCAATACAAATGGAGAACACAAGCGAAACAGTTACAGATTCCCCACTTGAGAATATTATGGGGAAGCTGGAGGCCTATCGCATATGGAAAATAGGCCTGTCATAAGAAGTTTAAAAATCAAGAGAGGTAGGATGCTGAGGGAGGAGAGACAACGTGTAGCTTTGTGATTTGGACAGTTTGTGAAGTGACATTTTTATTTGGTCTTGAAAAATGGAGAAAATATTAACATGTAGAGACTGTGTAGAACATGGGTCATGATTGTGAGGAATGAAAAGTGGGGAAAATCAAGTTAGTTTTTTCTCTTAGATGAAACAAAAGTACAAAAATCCATAGTTCCGTGTTGTTATTTAGAGTGAATATAGAGTTAATCCATGTTGCTTAAATTTAAGGTGAGTAAAGAGTTAATCCATATTGCTAAAATGTAAGATAAATATATAGTTACAGAAATGATGTAAATTGTGAGGATAGAAAAGGTAATTTGGGGCCTGGGCTGAGAAGGAATTTGAATGTAAATACTGGCTCTTCTGGGTCTTGTGAGCAGAGAAATGGCATGATTACAGTTGTGTATTAAGAAAATTAATTGGTAAGCATAGTGCTCATGTTATTTGAGGGGAAAAAAGAGCAGACTAGGTAGAAAACTATGCAGTCATCCAGGGGGAAAATAATGATAGTCTAATCTCTTATGGAACAATAAAATTAAAGGAAAAAGAACAGCTGTGGCAGAAAGCACAATGCCAGAAATGCCGGTATTTAAGTACCCACTGGGTATGAGGCTAACAAAGAAAAAAGGTAAAGATAACTGCAAGGATTTGCACCTTATAATGAGGAGGATATTAGTTTATTTAATGTGCATAAAGAAAGAAGAGCAGGTTTGGGGGAAAAAATGATGGATTCTCTCTAGATAACATCGTCTACATGCATTGTCCCTGCCAAGAAGCAACCACCATATATAAATAGAAGACTGAACAATATTATATTTATTAATGTCATATTATTTATATTAAAACATATTTATTGAAGATAAACATGTAATAGAAACCAGCTACAGAATATAATAATATGACTAATGGAAAGGGCAATTGATTACAAATGACATAATTACCAAAGGTTAAAAGCTATGCAATTGATATTATCTGTTATCTTAATTTAAATTTTTTTAAATTTTACTTTAAGTTCTGGGATACATGTGCTGAACGTGCAGGTTTGTTACATAGGGATACATGTGCATGGTGGTTTACTGCACCTATCCACCTGTCATTTAGGTTTTAAGCCCTGCATGCATTAACATTTGTCCTAATGCTCTTATTCGTCTTCCACCCCAACCCCCGACAGGCCCCAGCATGTGATGTTCCCCCACCTGAGTCCATGTATTCTCATTGCTCAACTCCCACTTATGAGTGAGAACATACGGTGTTTTGATTGGTTCCTTTTTCTCTCTCTCTCCTCTTCTAGGATTTCAGTTTCTGGTATATTAGAATGCTTAATGTTATTCCATAAGTTTTTAAGTATTTTTTTTACTTTGGTTTTGTGGATACACAGTAGGCATATATATTTATGAGGTTCATGAGATGTTTTGATATAGACATGAAATATGTAGTCATCACATCATTGAAAATGGGGTATTTTCACAAACATCCTTTGTGTTACAAACAGTCCAATTATACTCTTTTAGTTACTTTAAAGTGTACTATTAAATAATTATTGACTATAGCACATTGTTGTGCTATTGAAACTAGGTCTTATTCATTTTTTCTGATTTTTTGGAAATACCAACTATTTTCCATTATTTTATTTTATACATTACTCATATGTATAATTTTTTTTATTATTATACTTTCGGTTCTGGAATACATGTGCAGAACGTGCAGGTTTGTTAACATAGGTATACAAGTGCCATGGTAGTTTGCTTCATTCATTAACCCATTATCTAGGCTACATATTTAGATATTTCTTCTAATGCTATCCCTCCCCTAGCCCCAACACCCCAACAGGCTCTGGTGTGTGATGTTCCCCTCCCTGTGTCCATGTGGTCTCATTGTTCAACTCCCACTTATGAGTGAGAACATGCAGTGTTTGGTTTTCTGTTCTTAAAAATGTATGAAAGTGCAAAAGACTAATTATGTTGACAGCTGTTAATGATTCATGGGCTACCATATAGCAGGCAGTCCTCATGATCACTTAACCGTGGTAACTGAAACTTCTACCTGGAGTAGCAACAACTTGCCTTTGCATGGCTCTGACATGCATGAGTCTCACTTAGCACAGCACCTTGGAAAGTGATGTCTGCCTGTATAAGGGTACATTACAGCAGTTGTGGGCATTTCTTTGGTTATTTTGAGATACACACACACACACACACACACACACACACACACACACTGCCTTTTATCAATTAATAACATAACTTGCCAAAGGGAAGTTGACCAGTGAAGGGGAAGTATGTATTTCCCTACCAGAATCAAGTGGGAAATAAGTAAGAGTATGTTTTTATATTGTTTTTCCATTCCAGGATTTCTGTACATTCATAAGGTCATAATATTCTATGCACAAATGCATTTTATATATACAATAGATCATGTGTTTTTCATAGCAATCTTGTATAGTAAGTATTGTTATCTCCATCTTAAAAACACAAACGTTTGGAGACAGAAAGGTAAATCAAGTTGCCTTATGTCACACACCTATAAAGTGGATGGTCTGTGACTGAATTCATGTTCACACTCATTTCACAGCTGGCGACAAAACATCAATTGCCTTACACTAATTTTGTTCCTAGAGGGACAAAATTATTTCACTTCTCAGGGTAAAAAATTGGTGTATTCTGGAGACCAAGTCAACTGCTATTTAATTTAGCATCATATTTGAATTTTTCTTCCCCCTGAAGGCATCAGCAGTGTCCAGGTTTTACCACCATAAACTATGGCTAGTAGGCTGACTCCAGAGAACAATCAGGGTGGCATTTTAGAACTTTGATAAAGTTGTTCGATTCTGGATCTGCCCTTCAGCCTTGGATGCTTAGGAACTGGGCTTTGTTAATGTAGTGTGACCTGGGCTAATACCTTTAGGGAATGGGTGGGTAAGAGGCACACACTAACTGAGTCCAAGAGATTTTTATGTGAAAGCACAATCCCACGTCATTAACTTATAGTGATATTGCTATTAAATGACTTATTTTTCTGACAGGCAGACCAGTGTGAAAAATGTCAGAAGACAATAACCATGAAATCAGGGTTAAGGGAGTTTGACGAATCCAATATTTAATATATTTGTTGGCATAAATTTATTTAACTATTTCAGAGAAGGAAAAGCCTGCAAAAGAAACACAATTTTAAAGACCCAATGCCTTCCCTGTATGTTCAAATGGATCCTGGGGCCTTTTACTCCCACCTTTCCTCTGTTTTCATGACTTCTGTTTTCATCTCCCTTCAAATGTTATCTTTCTGATATGTTAATCTCATCAGTCACCTCTTAACAAAGTCTTGATGAGTATATGTTGATTTTGAAGTACAATTCTCAGATTCCAACTCTTTAATCTGTTATAGAATGGCCTTCACAACCTGATCTAACCTATACTTACGCTTGCGCCTTTACATTACCCACACAAAAATTTTGTACTGTTAACATTTTGTTTATTAGGAAATTTACAAGCTTCATCTGGATGGCTTAAAGGAATTCCATACTAAACAAGTACAAATAAAAACTTGCTATTTTCTAGTCCACCCAACCACGATTTCCAGTGTGTATTTCATCAGTAACTAACCAGCATCCATTAAGTTTCACATACCATAAACCTGGAAGTCTTCTTTTACAACATATTCTCTCATCCCTAACACTTCCCCACTGCCATTCATTATCCAACACGTGTATGTTAAATGGGAACACTGATTGAGTAGCTGGAAAAACAGCAGTTTAATGCAATCATTAGGTTTACATTGCAGTAGAGGTGGGGGGAGTATAGACCCCAACAGACATAAAGAATTAAAACAAAAAATATGTGAGCAGTTGGTAAATGCCAGTTCCTTAACTCGAACTCAATAGGACTATGTGTGAGAAGAGAGTGCTTTAGAGTCAGGCTGGTCAGGGAAGACGGCTCTGATAAGTTATAAACTGTTTTTAGGAAATTATATATTGACGTTGACTTTTATTCTTAAATCTTGATCATTTTGGTCTACTTTCTGTCTTCAGAGTGAACACAGTACACGACCTCCACGAAGTTGAATCTTTCAGCTCTCCTATTAAGTATATTTGACCAAAAAGCACAACCCACCACAGTCCCAGTTGCTGCCCCCCAAAATCTATTACCCCATCGATACTTAGGCTAAATATCCTAGGACTGCTGCCAGCCAGTGACTAAGTACTGCAGGGACTGCAAAGTAGGCCCATTCCTGAAAGACAAAGGGTTCGCCTGAAAGGAAACTCCAGAGTTTCCCATTAGTCCAGTTGAATTGCCAGCTAAGATTTCTGTACTCAGAATTTTTTCTTCCCTCACAAAGATCAGGACTGTGTGGAGATCCGATGACTTCCAGGCCTATCCCAGCTTTCTCCATGTTTTCCTGCATGTCTAATCTCTGATTCTCTGAGGGCCAGGACTACACGTCGTATTGGAGTTTCCCCCTACGTTCTCTCTGATTCCTCTTTTCATCCTGTTTTTTCTACAGTGAAAATCTTATGTCACCACTGCTACTTAGTATCCTGTAGTTTCCTTCTGCTGCTCTTCAGATATAGACCCAAGTCCATGAAAGGGCATCCAACGCTCGGTATGGTGGTGCTGTCCACCCCTAAACTCCATCTCACATTCCTCTCCTTCTCACCCTGTTTCATCTAACCTGCCCTTATTTTGTTCTGTGAGATATAATGCTTTTATTTAGCTGAGAAAGGCCTGTACCTTTTCTATTTCCTTTGCCAGACCACTAATTTCCCCCACTGATTTGGGCAGTTCACTAGTTTCTCTCACAGTTCTCCTATTCAAACCTACTCTGAACGCCATTTTCCCTCATCTAAGTCAATCTTCTTTATTTTGTTCTTTCAACTCCCCTAAAAAGCATTTACACATTCATTAGCATGATTGCTTTCAGATAATTTGTCTCAGTTGGAAATTATGCATTTATTAGTATGATTATTTAATTAACGCCTGCTTTCTCTAATGGGCTATAAGTTCATCTTTTTAGCCTCATTGTACCTCCAGCATTAGCTCAGTGTCTGTCCTAAAGGAGGCATATAATAAATATCTAGTAAATAAAAGGCTAAAGAAACAATATTTCTTCCTAGGAAGTATGATTAAACAGTGTATCATCTTAAAACTCAATTTTTCCCAATTCTAACTAACTGAAATGGGAATTAAAATTACATGGGAATATAATAGTACAAAATGGATATATGTGTTAAAACTGTACCAAACTGCAAAGACATAAAGCAGGTTTCGTATGCATTAAGCACTTAACACATGATAGGCACTACTAAGGCCTTTGCAAGCATTAACTCATTTAATTCCTACTGTCCAAAAGAATGCTTATATAATGTTCTTGTTTCTGATGAAGATCTTGAGATGAGAAGGGACAAGTTATTTACCAGTGGTTACTACGTGGCAGAGACAGGGTTTGGCATGGTTATGTTCGGCACCAGACACATTCTCCTCATTACTGTACTACAGACTCTTTTAAAGAAATGTTGGGTTTTCCAATTATGCTTGAAGACTTTGAGGGAATATAAAAACACTTCTACTTTGGGAAAAACATTTAGAACACAGCATGCTTTACCTTGCTTGTGAATTGTGGCACCTACCACAAGGTGTTTCACATTGCTATTCTATAAAAATAGCTTGGTGGTTGTTTCTGCAAGCCACCTCGTAGCACAACTGAGCCCCTGGGCTACTTTGCACAGCATCCTGGGCAAAAGTCTAATTTAGTTTTGAACACACTTTATGAGTGTTTTCTATTCGTTTGTCTGTCCTTCTTTGGATTATGAATTCTTTGAAGGGGAGTCATGAGGTCTTCACGAGAGCAAACATTTATTACGGATTTTATTGGGCCAAATTCTATGTTAAACGCTTTAATAAGCTCAAACAATTCTACCAATAGCACTACATATGAGGTAGGTGCTATCATATCTACAATTAATAAGCCTAATGTAAGAAAGTCAGTAAGTAGCTAGGGAAAGGTTTCATTTGAAGTTTGTTCAAGTTAGAGTTCATTCTCTTGCCAACTTACTAGAGTAGAGCAGGTCTCCAGAGTTTCAAAAATAACCACATGCATCTGTCACTTAATAAGCACATAATAGTTTCTCATTTTCTTTCTTTCTCTCTTTTTTCTCTTCATCTATTTTACTCCTTCCCTTCTCTTGCCTCCTGTGTGTGTGTGTGTGTGTGTGTGTGTGTGTGTGTGTGTGAGACAGAGAGAGAGAGAGAGAGAGAGAGATTTGATTCAACTTTTTCTTTCTCAGACACACTTGTAATTTCCTACCAAGGGGATGAATCTGGAAAACTTAACCAACAAAGAATGCTCAAATGTTTTTTTAAAAATCAAGAGATAAGTAACTTTAAAGATGAAATATTAGGATTAAAAAATATAGGTAGATTGATTAGAAAAATATACATTTAAAATTATTAAGCCAATTATCTGATGAAAAAAGCCATTGTTTTCTGACAAAATTTCTACTTCCTGAAAGAAAAATCTATGAACGGTATGCATTGGTTTTTACTTTTAAGATCAATTTAGACTGAAAATTGGCTTTAAATTAAATACTTGTTGAAGTTTATGACTTCTGATAGTGCGTTACTGTTTTCACACTCTGGCACACTTCTGCTTTTATTTCACTTATCCTATGATATAGCAAGTTTAACATTTTGTGGATCTAAAGACTATGGGAAAACACTTAAGATGATATCCTTTTTCCCTGTCCTAGAAACAAACATAACTGATGTGACTGTATTATCAGAAAAAAAAAAAAGACACTTAGATGCAGACACTCAGATATTCTTGTTCTAACGTATCATGTTCTTTATATCATTATGACAGTGGGATCAATAGTTTATTGCAGGAAGAATTTCTCATCAATGCCACTTACAAATGACATCTCATGGGATGTAAAGTGTTGAGACGTTTCCTGTCTCTTTCATTTATTAGTGAGGCTGATTCTAGAATGAATGATTTCAATAAGTGATAGATTTTCCTTCATAAATTTTTATTACTTTTTTCCTTCTGGAGAAGACTCTCCAATATTTGCAAAGTAAATGAAAACTTTAAAAGAGAAGCTTGTCTTACAGTTTAAATAAATCAGTCTTATGATACATCTAATTATGAGGTCTATTTGTGTACATCTCTTTGAAAACTAGCATCCACTGATCAGTGGCAGACTAAAGCAGAGAAATGCTCCAGGTTGCTGAAATATCTGAGAGCAATGAAGAATTTCCTCTGAGAAAACATACATAAAAATGGATTA